TTTTAAATACTAAGTACATTTCTAGACAAATGGATAAAACCTAGCAAATTAAGGTGTAACAAAATAAATTTTCTCGGATGTTTCTAAAGGTTGGCGTGAGTGGTGGAAGTTAGGAACACAAAATGTGACAAATGTTCTATGTTTGTTGTGCCTTCTGTCGTCAAGAGAGATGTTTATCTAAAGGTCTGTACAGCTGTGCAATTGGAGTCAAGTAGATATACGAGGACTTCAATGCTTGTTCCTCATCCATTTCCCGAGGATGGTATATCGACTAAGAGGGTAGAGCATAACACACTATACGTGCTCCGAGGACAAAATATTCCCCTTACTGCGTCGCTGCCCGACAGGCACTATACTTTTCCACTCGACTATATCCTTATGCAAACAAAAACAAAAGACTACAAGTAGCTCTAATTGCACCCTCCTAATCATCCGCTATACTTCTAGGCGAATCTGAAATACTTAATTCCATGAAACATCTAAGAGCTACTTAGTATGAGTATAGGAATTAACATGGCAACTCTCTAATTTCTCGTATGATGCTTGCACACGTTTCCCAAATGTCAACATGCTTTACGATACTGAAAACACTAAAATGAACTTTCATTGAATAGTTAACTCAGTCTCATTTCATCACAAACTAATTTAAGATATACATTTTGTTTTATTATTACAATTTTGTTGGGTTTTTTTACAAAATTAATGAGTAATTTAAAGAAGCTTATTTAATCAAATAGCTTCGTTCTTACCAATAAAAATAATTTTTCATAACTACGAATGGAGAAATAAATACAAACATAATTTTTGTTTGTTTATTGTTAAGTTCCTTTCTCTCGATTCTCTAATATCTTTTAAGTATTTTACTGCAAATTAATTTTAAAATTATATAAATGTATCAAAACCTGAAAATTAACCGACCGTTTTACAGTATTCCATACATAGCTGACATTGCGTGCAATCTTATCGTTATTTTAATACACAATTTTACTCCATTTCTTTAATCACTGCTTTCTACATAAAAGGATATGTAAACTGTACACGAAATAACAATGTTCACTCTTTAATACATCTGTTAATTTTATATGATTAAACTCACTTATAAAAAATCCCATTTACTCAATAATTATACACATTTTTTTATACAATTTTCCCGTCATAATTATATTTAAATTTTGTTTGTTAGCTTTAACCTGGATTGATATAAAAAACTATTAAGTTAATTTGATTTTATTATTAACTGATTTGAATTTGTTCATATTTAAGAATTATTAAAAAAAACTATAATTATTACTAATATTTCAATTTAAATATAAGGTATATTAGAAATTTATAAAATATTATCTTGATCATATAAAAAAATTTACATGTACATGTACTTTCTTATAGTTGTAAACGCCGTTTAAAGCTCGCATGTCTCATGTATGAAAAATAAGTACTTAATTTTAACTTTAATTAATTTTCTAAAAGCGTGACGTAGACTATATAACACTATTGTGTATAAAAAAAAAATGAAAAGCGAGTGTCATAGACTGGTATTATTAAGTGAAAAGGCGCATAGATAGATGGAATGAGTTCGTAACAATAAAAAATTACAACAAGAGATAGTATTATTATTTTTTCGTTAAAAAGTGTGAACATACCATAATGTATTGTTTTACAAGTAAAAATTTCTTGTATTTGCAAACTACATTTTTATGGAAAACAAACCCAAGTTAAGGTAACCATAACAAGTAACAACCTAATTAAAGAGTACAACACTCCAAAAATAATCAAAAAGTAACTTTCTCTTGTTTAAATTATTAAAACATCAACATTTTACTAAACATTTCTTGAAAATTGCATTACAAAACGCGCTTGTTCATTTTGTAATGTTAGCAGAATTGCAGAACTGGAGGATAAAGTTAATAAATTAAAAATAGTGAACTTTTATACATTTTATTTTTTCCAATTATATTATAAAATTGAATATGTATTATAACAAATATCAACTTTGTTAAAAACAGCCGATTCTTTGAAATAAAACATCAAAAGTAAAGGTAGGTATATCCTACTTAATTGTTAAAGGTTCGCGATACATATATTTGTATTTTGTACAGATAAAACTTATAATAAAAAGACTTATAATGATGTTGTCAAAAAAGCGCATCGTTTTTCCTTCTTTTATTACACGTTATAATGTTCACTTTAAAATGACAACTACTAAATTTAATGAGGAGTTGCTTGTTAAAAATATACAAATAAAGGTTGGCAGAAAACTTACAGCGATTTAATATGTTATAAATTTGTAAAATGATTTTTACATTATTAAACATTTTTATAGTTTAAATATTTTATTATAAACATGCAAATGGACTAAAATTCTGTTTAATCAAATTAAAAAATATAGCAACTTTATACGTCGGAATTTTATTAAAAAAAAAAAAATTAAGTTCTAAATTTAAAATAGGATTAGCTGATCAATATTATACAACGTTATGACTTCAATGATATATTTAATACAAAAGAAAAAAAAAAACTAGTCTAGTTGGGTTGGTAATATAGTTTCACTCAGAAAGATGTGTAAATAAAAACACGCCTTTTATAAAACCAAAACAAAAGTTTAACGCGGTCATTATTATAAAAAGTTAATAAACAAAAACATCATAAATATTGAATAATAACGAAAACAAAATAAAATTAATACAATGCATATAACAGAATGTATGACGGAATAAAAAATAAAATAAAAACAGTACGAAACCTATTGGCAAAGAAACCGCTCATCGGTATTTATTATTATAACATAAAACATTTTAATTATCTACGTTTAATTATTTTTAGCTGAAAACGAATTCAAATAAAAAATTGAAATGGCTCTTTAAAAAAAAANATCGGTATTTATTATTATAACATAAAACATTTTAATTATCTACGTTTAATTATTTTTAGCTGAAAACGAATTCAAATAAAAAAATTGAAATGGCTCTTTAAAAAAAATAACTCTCGCAGAATAATTGAGGTGTGAAGTGAAATTTATACAGAAAAAATACAAAAGAATGAAGGGATCGAAGGATAACTTGGCAAGAAAAGCAGTCTTGATTACATTTTCCAGACTGAAAAAAATGTATGTATAACGGTTGTTATAAAAACGCAATTTCAGTAAGCTATTAAAATTGTTATACATCGAATTTATTCTATTCACTTTTAAGAGCTTAATAAAATTTGACGTTATACAATTTTCAACCGACAACATTGGGTATATTTTTTTTTCTCCTTTTTTGAGTGCTACACACCACCCAGTCCTTTAAAATCACCAATGACAGCTGCAACGTCAATTCGCTGCCTCCAACCACATCCCTTGATAATTGTTTGAAGGCTTACTCATGTGTAATTATTGTGGTACTTTGTACCGTATTCGACAACTGTGGTTTAGATATTACAAAATAATTGAAACATAAATCAATTTGCATTAATTAAAAAAAAAAGGCGAAATTGCCGTTATTCAAGTGCAAAACGAAAGAATTACACGTCACACACAAAATTTTAAAATATTAAAACGTATTCAAGAAAATAAAATAGAAATATTTTGAATTTTAAAAAAAAAATTAATTAAAATAAAGCCATAATTAAAACAAGAGTTAAAATATGACTCATTTTTATCATCGGGTATAATATTGATTTTCCATTGACTATGGCGGACCATAAATGTTTTAAATAATAAGTTTTAAATTGTATTATTGTTCTTAAACCTCATTTTATTTTTTTTTTTTTTTTCAAAATTCATTATACAAATTTAGTATAAAGTTGTAAAGGTAAAAAAATACTGCCATTTTATTTGTACTGATGAAAATTAATATTACGAATGAATCTATGCGTGAAAATAAAATATATGACATTACTGTTTGCTATATTTAGAAATATTTTGATAAACATTTTGTTGACTTTCTAGGTCCAACATTTTTTAATTCATTGTTTCTAGATATCAAAAAATGTATTTACAATAATATAAATAGTAAAATAGATAAAAATGTTATTGTAGTGAACAATTCTTTGAAAATCTGAACAATTTTATTACTAAAAATGCTACTTTATTGTAATGAAATTTATCTTAAATATTAGTGTAATTATTGTTGATTTTAAATTAAAAAAATTAATTATAAGTTGAATCTATAACTTATTTACTTTGTGCACAAACTTTGCATATTGGTGTAAATTAGTCAAAAATATTTATACATTGAAATCGTTCATAATGTATTTATATAAATTTGATAAAAAAAAATAGTAATAATAAAAATTATGTAATTTATAAAGTTGGAAGTTAGAAAAAGAGTTTATTTTCAATAGACCCAAATTATGTTATTGATAAGTTCCGGTACAGTGTATTGCTATATTTTCTTAATAGTTTTAATTCGACCTAAATGTTATAGGTGTCTAATAAAAAAAATTTTTATTAGACACCTATTTATTTATTATTTCTATATTTATTAGATTTATTTTATTATTTGAATTTTCTAATATTATAGGTTGTTAATTATTTTTAGCTTACTCTATATTTGCACAAGCGCACCCAAAATTTCACTTGTCTATGTTATTTCTTTTTATATATCAGTACTGGCGATTTAATACAGTGGTTACACAACATAAAAATGCATAACTTATTATTCGAGAAATCTACAGAGGGTACAGCCACACGTCATTTCCGCGACTGCTACGGTTACAATGGATTGTGAACCCTATTTTCGGCTATACAACAAACGTATTAAATTTGACAACAACGACGCCAATTCATATAGACGGTTATTGGCTAAATGGCAACAAATCTGGCTATAAAAACAAACTTTGGAGGGGTGAAATTCAAAAGTGCTCAGGAAACGGATGGCAAAATGCATAAACAGAGAAAACTTCTACCAGTTATGTCGTTCCCTCTGCGGAGGGTATGTTTGCTCAGAGGAGTAAGTTTTTATAACAAAGAAATATAAATAAACAAACTGACATTCAAAAATTGTATAAAAAAAACTTACCTATCGTCGTACACAAATCCAGCTTTCAAAGTGTTGTAGTTGATTAGAAACGCCAAAGCCATGCAAGCCGAACCGCTAGCCTCCATAACTAATATACGGTTGCACGGCCTTTTGCGCTGAAAATCTGAAAGCACAAAAATTCAAATTGAAATAATTATTTAATTTATTAATTATAGATAACATTATTCTCTAAGAATAATATTAACGTCAATATTTTATCATATCAATGAAAATAAAAACAATTTTTATGTAATTTGAATTTAAATTCTCAATCTACTTGAAATACAAATCATTAATACAATTATTATTACAGAAAAATCGAAAAATTCAAACAAATTCAAACTGTAAATTATTTTTTTTTTTTTATCGAAAAACGATTTTGATGAAACTTTACGCTTAAAAGCGCCATTTTTCAAACCCTAAAATTTAATTTTGCTTTGTTAGTGTAATTTTCTAGAAATATTTGATTAAATCGTATTTGACTGTATATTTTTTGTCCAATACTAATTTAAAAATTAATTTCTTTCTTAAAAATATTAAATTTAAAATAAAGAAAACTAAAACACAAAAGAAAGAACAAACATCTGGTCTGCTATTATCTTAAACGATGACAATCTCGATTGTTTTTTTCTTGTATATTTTTTTCTTTACTAATTACTTAATTTGCATGAAAAACGCCAGACACAATTCTTTTATTCTAAAATAAAAATTATTTCGCAAAATAAGGAAGCACGCCGAAATTTAATTTATTAAATATCTTTATTCTTACTTTGGTAAAATATAATTTAGCGATTTCTTTTAAATAATAAAATTTAACATTCTAAAAAAGTCTTATATTTGGTTATTTACTAAATTCTGATAAGTCAATTTTACATAAGATTCACTTAATTTTTTAAGAGAGTAAAAACAAATTCAAAATATTAACGGCATTTTTTGAAAATCATCATTTTTGAAGAAAACAAACTGTCTTGATAAAATTGACTTATTATTTTTAATGCCCATGACATAAAACATTCTTCTCTTTACAAAATATATAGAAAATTATGCATTGCGAAATATTTTTATGATTTAAGCTTTTGGATAAAAGCCGCAGATATATTATGTTTAGTTATTGTTGTTAAAAAGAATAAATGCATGAAGACATGCACATGCATTCAGACTAGTAGATACGTTGTGCGAACCTCATGTCGGTTTTTCCACCGAAGGGTTGTTACCATTGTTTAGTATACCTGTGATACAATATTTACTCATAAAAATATTGTGTATTTCATTTAACTTTTTTTTATATTTTAACTCCTTCAAACAAAAGTTTTAGTTAATTTAGTTTTCCTCAATACTTACTAAAAAATTGTTGTTTAATTAATCTTAAAAAAATTAAAAATTCAGTAGACAATTTTTTGCATTGTTGGATTTTATGTTGTAAAAAAAAAAATTGGAAAAAGGAGTATATTTTGTCCTAGACATGGAATTTATAAACATCAACCAAATAGATTATTTCAAAAATTCTTTAGGTACCAACATTATGAAACGTCAATTTATGAACACAAAAAAGTAAATATCGTTTTTTATAGTAACCTTTCAAGTATCAAATCTCAATACTGGACAAGTTACTCCAAAATAGTCATAAATTGTAGTTTTTTTTTAATTAATGAGCTTGAAAAAGTTCTAGATTGTTTCAATTTATAGCTATTTAATTTCTAATCATATAATATTTTCTTATAAAATTATTAAAAAAGAATATTTAAAAATTCTCAACGTGCTTTTTCGTTGGAATTCGCAACGGAGAGGAAATAATTCTTATGTTTGTCAAATTTAAAGTCATACAAATTTTACACATGAAAAAAAAACATAATTTTTAATCATCAATGTCATTTTATTGCTAAAATAAACGAAAAATAATTTTAAACAAATCAAAATATTACAAATATTTATGAATATTGTTATTTCTAAACATCGGCTGATGTTCTTGTACTTTTATGAATAGCCTATAGGTACTATATAGCTGCGCTGGGTTTATAGTCAAAACAAATGTATATAATATATTATTATGAACGAGGGACTGATAATCGACTTTTATAGGGTCAGACCGTCATGAAGGAATTCCATTGTTTCGTTTTATCCTGGAGCAATGTCATTGCATTATATGGTAATGGGATAAAACTCATATACGGGCATGCAGTAGGAATAAACGACGAAGGCAAAAGCGTCGAATGCCTCTTTACTTCCCGTTCAAATGACAATTGCAGCGAGTAAAATGCATCTCTTCTGTGCTCAAGACCGATTTCTTATGAAGTCGTGCGAACCACAGATAACGCGGTTTTACAAAGCGTCAAAAGAACTCCATTCGTGAAAAGACTAAAGTTTAACAGCAATGCATAAAAATGTTCAACATTATGCGGTTGATGTGATGAACTAAGAAGCACGGGAAAAAAAAACTATGACGATATTTGAAACAAATTTACTATTGAAAATTAATAATTGTATCACTCAAATTGAAATTCGCACTGATTTTTGTCTCTATAGTCAACTGAATTGATGATATCCGTATTTAATACTTAGGTTTTTCATCTCAGTCATGCAGACTTTAAAAGTACGTTTTTTAGCAAGTCATAAAATTTAAAATAATATGTTTATGAATAATATTACATTGAGTTTTATAAATAAATCTAATAAATTATAACAATTCAAAATAGTTATATTTTACGGTTATAAAATAGAGAATACAATAGTATTAATAATTTTTCTGTCCTCTATTTTAGAAGAAATCATATCATGTTTACACGACTAAAAGTTTACATAGTTTTGATTATTATTTCTAAAATTAACAACTTGTAATTTAAATATTTAATTTATTTTTAAATTTTATATTTTTAAATTATTGTTTTTAAAGAAAATTATAAATTTTAGTCTTAAAAATGTATTTTGAAGTTTTTAGTCATGTTTATATAATGGCTTATAAGCCATGTAAAACAGTGGCATAGCAAGGGTTTCTTAATGGGTGGGCGGCTTTAGTCAAACATTTTCTTACTGAAATATATTAAAATATATATCAGCATGTATTTAGCGTTTGATAATAGTAACATTGTTCCCAAAATATGTCTTTTAATCATTTTTTGTGACTTTTTGAGTTTAATAATTTTTAGTATTAAATTAATAAATTTAATATAATTTTAAATAATAACTATAAGTGATCAATTTTTGTTTTATGGTCTTTTTTTTACTTATTAATTTTATGAGATTTTATTTAGCGATTTATTTATTTTAGTGATAAATATCATTTTCAATGAGAGATGCAACTCCTGTGGCACCTCTGGCAACGAAAATTATATACATAAATATTATGTTACTTATCAGTTTTATCTCAGAAACTTCAACTATTTTTTCAAAGTTCATCTTAATTTTAGACAAGTTTTGTTAAATTTCCATATTTTTAAATTATTATTCATTTTGAAATAATTTTTTCTGTATTTTAAAATAAAAAAATCAAAAGGATTTTTCAGAAAATAATTAATAACAATATTTTTTTAATGAAACCCATTGCAATGTATATACGAGACATATACTTGGAATATACTAAAAATACTGAAGCTTCATAAATGAAAAAGTTTTCATGTTATATAGAAAAATATTATACTAATTAGTTCTAGTAAGAAATTAAATTTTTTTAATTTTTTTACTTATCGTTTCGTCCACTGAAAGTTGAATACATTTTGAAAAGTATTTTCATTAAAAATCTATTCTAATAAAATATTATTTTAGGTTACTCCATAGACCCAAAAACTCAGACAATTATTTAATTAAATATGTAACTTAATAAACTAATAATTAGTTTACATAGATTAAAGCATAGCGGTAAAACTATTCGGACGTATTTTTTTGTTTGAAATTACTCTTGACCGAAAGATAACTTTTTTTTTTTAAATTAAACTAATCGATTTTAACTAAATATATATTTTGAACCATATTGAGGATTAACCATACTATGATATAAAAATACTAATTTTTTATTTGACTTTGAAGTATTTCTTATTATTAAGTAAACGTTTATTTAAAACATTTTAATACTAGTAGAACTAATTCATTAAAAAAATATACGTTATATTTTGAGTTATTTTACTAATTCAAACTTTCTAAAAGAGTTTTATAATCAATAAAATATTTCATAAAAATAATAATTTTATATAAAAAAAAAAATTTCTTGTCGCAGGAATTTCTATATTTATCCAAATTTTATATATATAAAAAAAAAAATGTATTCCAAAATAGTTGTTGTTTATTTATTTCAATTAAAATGTTTAGTGTTATTTAAAAACGTATCGCCAAGCTTTTAAGTGACGCGAACAACCGATTGTCCCGAAAATCTCGTGACAAAAAAACATGACACCTTCAACAATACAATTTTTTTTTGTTTATTAAAAAAACTTACACGGAAAATGCAGATTTCCGTTGTTCACCGGTTATGAAACCGGTGGCGGTTGTCTAATGTCTACGTTCATTACTACACTAAACTGTCATTTAAACGGTCCGTTAAAGTCCAAACACAGTGAACGGAAAAAGGAACTCAAAGTCACGTGAAAACATTTATCGAATAATTATCGCTGTGTGGGGGTAGTTTTTCGTGGGCAGTAGTCGCAATGCACAGCGTGTGCACACAATTAAAACGGAAACTGTTTATACGCCGGTCGTTCAGAGGGTTGTTTTCGGTGGCGGAACCGAAACGTTACTGCTGCGGGTCCGTGAGCACACGACGGCTGTTGCCGGCAGTCCGAGAGATCATGCGTACACCATTAGACCCGGGGGGAGGAGCACCCTTTTTTTGTTGTTGAATTTTTTTTGTTTTGAAAAATGTATAGTACAAATACGACGGAGTGCAATAATACGCGTACGTCCGGCATATGCGGCACTGGTCGCAGATTACCGGGGGAGCGATGGTTAATACGGCCAAAGGGTTCAGAGACACATAGGTCGACGAAACTCTTTCAATTAAAAATTCAAACATGAAAGAGAGCGGTTGCACATGCTGAACGTCAAGCCGATCTGCAATTATTGTAGTGTTGTGCATCCGTGTGTGTTTAATGATACGCATAGGGGTAAAGTGGACAGAATTACACGCATGTAGGGAATTTTTTATTTTGTTTGTATTTGAATAGTATACTGTTTTTTGTCCAGGAACTGAATTGTCGTGGATTAAATTGCTTTTGCGTTCCTTGAAACATTTTGATATTTAGCTCAAATAATTAACTCGCAGTAATGAAATACAACCATTATTTATTTTATCTTACAATAAGTGTTTATCACTATTTACGCGTGTGTTACAAAAGAACAAAGGTAAAAACCAATTTCAACATGTCTAATTGAACTTAATTTACCATATGCTTTACAGGTAAATAGTTACGTTTTTACCTAAATAGTACTTTTTTTACTTGCATATTTTTTAGTCAGTAAAATTATTTTGAAACACGATTTATTTTAATTTTGAAATTTTTTAAAATTAAATTTTCAAATCTTTAAGAATAGCAATTGCAATTTTTTATTGACTGTTATGTCAATGAGTGTGCAGTTAGTTTTCAAATTTGAAAAAAAAAATCTTACACTGTCAATCGAAATGAATCTAATAATTTTTTTTGAAAATTTTTGCAATTGTGTATATATTTATTTTAGCTTCGATGCGAAGCTGAGAAGGTATTTTATAAAGGAGAATTTGAAGTGATCTGACTTGACTATTTTTAAACAGTAATCGAGATTTATAATGTACTCATATACAGAGGCGTATTAAAGGTTTTAGTAAACCAAGGCAGCTTGTATTTGATATCTCCTAAATTTTTTTGTGTGAACAAAAATAATGTCTGGCTTAAAAACTTAAAATATGCGTAAACGCAAGAATTTAAATTATAAATAATATAACATCCCAAAAGACTCAGGGGCGCCCTTCTCATTCAGTCCTGGGGCAGCTGCCTTAAGTAGACACGTCATTGCACATATACATGTACTAGATTACGGAGGATATTGATATAATATCTTTGTCATCATGCCACCTAATCATAAATTTTAAATACGTGACAAATTGCACTTATATAATAGGCTTTCTAAATAATATACCTTAATTATCAGTGCACTTGTAATAAGTTATTGTCTCTACTCAGAAGTATAGAAAATAACTTAATTTCGTTAAACTAAAAATTGAGTTACACGATTTTTTGTTCAATTATATTTCAATACTGCCGTTTAAAAGAATACAAAGATAATTAAATGGAAAAATCGACTCGTAATTTTTTAATTTAATTAAATTTATTAAAATTTTATCTTGGATATACAGGTGATCAGTAAGTAGGGAAACAGGTAAATTGTTACAAACAATGAGAACAATTGAAACCGGTTTTCTTACTTACTGAACACCTATATTTTAAAATGTATTATTGTGATAGCAAAATTTGTTTTCTTAAATTTGTTTTCAGTTCTTCTAGTTGGGCTATAATAGTTTTTAATTGAAATATTTCATTTTCTATACCATTGCATTCGTTATTTTTTAAATTTAAAGCTGTTTCGAGGATTTGCCCATCTTGTAAAACTTTTTCCAACTCGTTGAACCTTTTTTCATTTTCAACGTTCAAATCTTTGACACGACATTGCTGTTCGCAAGAAAATTTTTTCAATTTACCCTTTAAAGTTTCAGCTTTGGAATTTTGTTCATTAAGTTCATCATTTTGGCAAACGTATATTTCATGCATTTCTTTTTTGTTTGCATTTGCTTCGTTTACGAATGTTTGGTTCATTTCGATCAGCTTTGAATCATTTGTCGTTTCATGTTTCATCGTATTTTTCAACAATTCTATGTTTGCGTTTGATTTGCCAAGTTTCTTCATACACGTTTCTATTTGTATTTTGTTATCTAATAACAAACGTTGAAGATCCATAATTCTTAACAACATTAGAGAATTCCTTTCCTTTAAAGTTTCTATTTCACTGGTTTTGTATAGTTTATTTACAGTCACTTGTTGCTCTAACCGTAGTAAATTTTCGCTTACCAATTTAATTCGAGATTTTGTCTCGCACACTTGATAACTTTTCTCAGAAATCTCTTCACATTGGCTATTAGACTGCTGTTTAATATGATCACACTCAGCAATTTTTCGCCAGTATTTCAGATTTTGACTGAAGTTTTTATAGTTAAGATCGTCTTTTAAACGTTTCGCTTCATCTAATTTATGTTGTATACACATCAATTCTCGTTTTAAATTTTCAGACTCTTCATCTTGTTTTCCTAAGGTTCTTTCGAGTTCCCTTTGTGTTAAATATGATATTTGAAGTTCATTTTCAATACATTCAATAACTGATGTGTGCTTGTTATATTCTGTTTTGATATCAACGTATTTTCTATGCAAGTCATCATAGTCCTTTATCATTTTTGAAAACATAGACTTATTATTTACTTCAACTGCATTAATTGTTGCTGATAATTCATTCAACTGAAAAATAAAGATTTCTTTTACTAATATATCTTTATTGAATGTTCGAACTTCTGATTCAAGTTCAGTTATTTGTGTACATGTCATTATTATTGGAAAATTTTTAGAATTATCTTTTTAATTTTTACACAAAATAAATTTTTTTTTTTTAAATAATAATATAAACTATGTTTTACATCAAAACTTAAAAAATAAATTACATAAAACATAATTGTTTATTTAATTTTTGACAAAGTTATTTAAGTCAGCTGATTATCATCTGTAGATAATTTGTTAATATAGTTTTTTTATCATTAAATCAATATTTCCAGGGAAGAATTTGTTAATATATAATTTCACATAGATAAAAATACTAAACGAAATTTTGTAGTTCTATAAGTTCCTTTAATTCGTCGAATAAAATTACTAGCCCATAACAATAAAGCTGATGAAAATATAACAAACTAATAAAACTGTTGTAATTGTTATACCAAATCGTTAATATAGTGGACATTATATTGAAGTTTAAACAAGATTATTCGAAATAAATTCATTTTATTACTGATGAAAACATTATATGGTTAAGACGACCTATAATAAAATTACAGTATTTGTAATTTATTGAAAATGTTTAAGAAAAGGCGATAAACGAAATTCATTAAATTTATTTATAGTTGTCTCGTAAAATAAAAATAATAGTGTATGTTAATAAACTTTTCGAGAGGTCATTGTTAAAAAAAAATTAAATTACATTAGAAACAAGTCAATTTTATATCTAATTATACACTGTACATTTACATTTGATAAACAAAAACATTGAACTTTCTATAAAAGTGAATCTGTAAAAATAAAATAATTGAAATGTTTGAAGATATTTGAATATGTTCTTTAACTATTGATTTTATATTTCATTAATATACAAAGAAATTTTTATAACTATTAAATATGTACAAATTATAATAACTTCAAAAAGCACACACAAGAAAATAATATCCATGCGTAATTCCAATTCTTTTGGTCATAATGATTAATTCAGACTAAACATGATTTTGGTTAACCTAGGGAATAGTGGCATTCCTATTATTTATTGCTGACCGGGATATTACATAAGAAAATTGTTTAAAATATAACTATTTCCCTAATCACATTTGAAAATGGTAATTTCTTAATTAACTTACACAATTGTTTTGAATATTCACATAGTTTTGTTTGTTCCTATATGCATTAAATTAGAACGAATATTTCACTTTAAAGCATATCACATATTTTATTATGAATTAATATATTTTATCAAAAAAAAAATGGTTTGGTCACTTGAAAATATCATTATATTTAAATTATCAAAAATATAACCATAGTGATTTCACAAAATTATCATTCGGGTTTGTTTAAAACGATTTTGCCGTACAATTGTAGTTCTCTGGTCCCGAACTGTCTAAACTTTAAGATATCACAATGGTATTGTTTTATTTGATAACTTATCTTTGTAATGAACATTTCTAGAACAAAGTTCTTTTATGTGCTAATATTGTAAAACTACCATGTACACATTGACCCTTGTCAGATTTTTATCCTCTACTTTTATCTACATCTATATAATAATAAACACAAAATATACCATATTGTTTATTGAACAACTTTATCTGCAAATCTGGCGACGTTTTGACTACTGTATATTGTTGTACGTACGTAACGCTACGCCTCCAGAATTGAGCCTAAGGGAATGACGAGGAAACTTGATAAATGGTCTGAAACAGATCTAATAAGACTACCCGACACCCTATCGCGTATCCAGAAAACCTGCTGTTACTTTTCCATCTCTCATTGCATCAACTGTAGACGGCTTTGTACTCAGATAGAAAACAAAACTTCATTTTAAACAAATTTCCATATCTGTCGGATATAGCCTTTAACAAAATCGACATAAATCAAATTGTCCTATAAACAAAATTTAATCCAAGAAAAATGATAAAACGCAACGGAATAAAAGTAATTGAATAATATAAATAAAACAATAAACAGTTTTTTAAATTCATCATGTCATATTCTGTTGAAAAATGATAAATTAATATTTAATTACTTAAGTAGCAATAAATAAATTAATAATTAAATTTTATAAATGTTTTTATCAAAGTAATTTCTTAAAGTTAAATAAATATTTAAATTTAAGGCGAATTCTTGTGTTATAAAATAATAATTAAGCTTCTTCAAAAAACACTTACTATTACAAAAATCTTTATATTAAAAAATAAAATTCATTTAATTGTTATCCAATTAAATACTTAATAATAAATTTATCTTAATATAAAAATAATTGTTAAAGTTATTTTCAAGAATAAGCTTTAAATCTTGATTCTAAAAATATTACTTGTTAATTTTAATATTTCTGACTAATTAATCGATATAAACGTAAAATTACAAATTATGGTCATATATTTAATTCATAACATACATTTACAAACACGTTTGTATAATAAGTATATTACTTAAACATATAATTTAAAAAATTTCATAGATTAATACCCCCAGTTATTGACACAATAACATAGTTTTTAATCAGAAATAGTGATCAATTATATTATTGTTATAATTAAATAGTAATTTATGATTGATCAATTTTTTTAAATAATGCGCTTATACATAATATTAATAACTCTGTAATATATTAAATATCTATTAATATGAGTTAATAAAAAGATAGAAATATTAAAACATCTGTTGAAAAATCTTGAAAATTTAAACATTATTTAAATGTGTGAGATATGTTACAATAATTTTTAAAAAAATACTGTAAATAAATCACTGCTTCAAAAGTTATAACCTGTATGTTATATGATATATCATTTATAGATTTGGTCAGAATAAACAGAACTATACTGTATATACTACCCTATTTTTATGTATATAAATTAAATTAATCGGCATTATACATTAATAGTAAAATGGTGAGCATTAGAATTGTTATTTATGTCTAAGTTATAAAATATAAGCCAAAATAAACACATAATAAAAAAACCCAGCACAGTGATGTCACGGCAAAGTGGGGACGTAGCATAGTTGAGTCCAATATAGATTTAATCTGACAGTGATTAAAATCACTATCATAAAAAAAGCTTCGATACAAATCTTTAGATAGTGTTTAATTTTTAAAAAATGGTGGATTATACCAAAAGTAAAATGAATTCCTATTTTCTTTATTATTCCTTATTAGTAGTTTTTTGATTTAGAAGTAAAATATACGAATAAATATTTATTATAGCAATTAAAAATCTGTAGATGGTGTTTAATTTTTAGAAGGAATTGTTGAATTATTTCAAAAACAACATCAACGTCTATTTCTTTAATTACAGCCTGATTAATAGTTCTTTAATTTATAAGTATAATATTTGAATAAATAATAATTATAGTAATTATATTTAGTATGAACATTTACAAAACTAAATTGAAAAAGTTGATTTTTGTAAAAAAGTTTCTATTTTAAACACTCCCCAGTGAGCAGATTAAGTGTTAGATTTTCAAAAAAATGACATAAAATAAAAGAAAAATATCTAAGGTTTCAATATGAAAAATAAATTATGTTTATTTGTTAATTTTTTAAAAAGTTATGGTAATTTTAAGAAAAAAAGTAAAAAAAATAACGAAATTTACCGATTTTAAAAATCGTAATTTTTGAAAAGATTTTCATTATTTATAGGAAACTAGGGAAAATTTGTTGAGGGTAATATCTGCAACTAGATACGATTTGTGATCTTTAGGCGTATCGTTGAGAAAAATCGGTNGAGTCCAATATAGATTTAATCTGACAGTGATTAAAATCACTATCATAAAAAAAGCTTCGATACAAATCTTTAGATAGTGTTTAATTTTTAAAAAATGGTGGATTATACCAAAAGTAAAATGAATTCCTATTTTCTTTATTATTCCTTATTAGTAGTTTTTTGATTTAGAAGTAAAATATACGAATAAATATTTATTATAGCAATTAAAAATCTGTAGATGGTGTTTAATTTTTAGAAGGAATTGTTAAATTATTTCAAAAACAACATCAACGTCTATTTCTTTAATTACAGCCTGATTAATAGTTCTTTAATTTATAAGTATAATATTTGAATAAATAATAATTATAGTAATTATATTTAGTATGAACATTTACAAAACTAAATTGAAAAAGTTGATTTTTGTAAAAAAGTTTCTATTTTAAACACTCCCCAGTGAGCAGATTAAGTGTTAGATTTTCAAAAAAATGACATAAAATAAAAGAAAAATATCTAAGGTTTCAATATGAAAAATAAATTATGTTTATTTGTTAATTTTTTAAAAAGTTATGGTAATTTTAAGAAAAAAAGTAAAAAAAATAACGAAATTTACCGATTTTAAAAATCGTAATTTTTGGGAAGATTTTCACCATTTATAGGAAACGAGGGAAAATTTTTTGAGGGTAATATCTGCAACTAGATACGATTTGTGATCTTTAGGCGTATTGTTGAGAAAAATCGGTCGGTGAGCTGAGAAAAAGTAATGATATACCCCCAAAAAAAAAAAAATAAACGCATCATAGTAATATTAATACCTTTTCAGCTTCGCATCGAAGCTAAAACAAAATGTTTTTTCACTCAAGAAAATAGCTTCCCTTATGAGAAACCCATTTTCTTAACTATCAAAAAAGATTACCAAACATTCATTGTCTACATCACTCCAATTATTTTATTAAATTGATATCTGCCATTAAATTTTTCAAATTTAGTGGTATCTTTACAATGATTAAGATATGAATACTATTTAAAAATTGATTGTCTAGCATTAAAATAATCACCTTGTATGTTGGTTTATGTTAAAAGTTTCCAATAATACTAAACTTATTAAAATCAATAATTTTTGCTGTCAAAAAACTTTTCCTTATAATATTTTTATTACATATTTCAATTAAAATCATATAAATTTGATAAGTTTAGGCACCCAAATTATTGTGATTCAATTAAGTTTAGTACTTTAAATTTTAACAAAAGGATTGGGTAACAATAAATGACTAAATTTTAAACTTATTAACAACATGAAAACCTTTTTCTTACAAATTCCTTTTGGAAATTTTATCACCTTTCATTGTAGAA